AGAGAGAGAGAGAGAGAGAGAGAGAGAGAGAACGAACCATGGAATTCCGTTACGCCCAGTGAGTTCTGGGCCTCTGGTGTACAGTATGTGGTGGCAGTTAGCACTGTACTACTGCACACAAACATTTTTGCTAAGCCGGTAGATCTAATGTCAAATGTTCTCATTACAAAAAAAATAAGATTGATGAAGAGGGCAGGAGGGAACTTCTGGAGGTGATGTTTATGGCATTGATTTTGGTGATGGCTTCACGGGTGTAGGCTTATCTCCAGACTCAGCAAGTTGTACACATTAAATATGGACAATTCTGGAAGTCAACCATGCTTCAACAAAACGGTCTAAAACATAAAAATGACGTTTCCGGTGCCCAGCAGGTGCTCAGCTCAAGGCGGCTGTTTGCATTGGGGTCCTGGAGGTGGACGTGAGGATGGCCCTCCAGCCACGTGTTTTCAAGTCCTTTGCAAATGTGGCCTCCACCCCAGCTGCCCCATGTTCTTTGGTGTCCACTTTCCCTCAGCCTCCTCCAGTCTCTCACCAGACTTAGTTCTGGGGGGCTGTGGCCCCCCTCCAGCACATGGCCGGGCATCCTGCAGCCACGAGTGGGTCCAGGGCTGCTCTGGCACTGACCCCAACCAGGCGACCCAGGGACACCCTGTTATTCCCGCGACCTTCCAGGACCCCTGGCGTTCCCCGGGCAGCCTGCGATCCGGAGAGAGGCAGACAAGACTGAGAAAACAGGTTTTTCAGACTTAGACAAAGATCTTTGCGGTTCATCACGTCAGGGAGAAAATTCCAGAACCCCCCGGGGCGAGCTGCGATGTGGATGCTCCCCTTCAGCATGTGCCTGTGATTGGAGCTGCCCGGAGCTCCCTGCCAATTGGCATGGGCGCCGTGGAAGCTGGAACTTTACAGCTTAGCAACGAGAACTGTGGGGGAATCTCTGGAATTAATTTCAGGAAAGGGGAAGAAAAGGCAAGGAGGTAATGAGCAGCCGAGTCATCGGGCTGCGCCGTGTTCTTATTACCTTTGCCGCCCGGAGCAAGTCGTGAACAGTTTGAGCGTTAATTACAAGCAGAGACGGCACCAGCCAGCTATCTCGCCTCACACCCTGCAGCTAATGTTCGTTTTTTTCCGGAGCTGGTGCTGGAGAAGGAATGTGAACAGAGCCAGGGGAGAGGGTACGGGCGGGTATGATAATGAAAGAAAAAGCACGCCCCTCCTGGCTGCCATTGCTCCTCCCGGGAGCCCCTGGAATCATTTTCCGTCGTGTGACAGATACCAGCCTGTCTGGCGGGCAGCTGGAGGTCAGGGTGGCTACACAGCTCTGCAATTTCAGCCGGAGGCCTGGTTGGACGTGATGATGGCGCTGGTTGGTCCACTTGATGACTGTTTATTTATTATTTTTTAAAAATATTTTTTTTATTGATTTTTCACAGAGAGGAAGGGAGAGGGATAGAGTTAGAAACATCGATGAGAGAAAAACATCAATCAGCTGTCTCCTGCACCGACCCCCCTTCCCCTCCTCCCGGGGATGTGCCTGCAACCAAGGTACATGCCCTTGACCGGAATCGAACCTGGGACCCTTCAGTCTGTAGGCCGACGCTCTATCCACTGAGCCAAACCGGTTTTGGCTATTTATTTTTTTTAATCCTCATCCGAGGATACATTTTTATTGATTTAAGAGAGGAAGTGAGGGGGGGGAGAGAGAGAAAGAGAGACATTGATGTGAGAGAGAAACATTGATTGATTGCTTCCCGCATGTGCCCTGACCTGAAATCAAACCTGCAACCCAGCCAGGTCTGTGCTCCGACCAAGACTTGAAGCCACATCCCTTTTGTTGCTCAGGACGACGCTCCAACCAACCGAGCCACCCGCCAGGCCTGATGACTATGCACTGAGCACCACTCATGTGTCACCGCTGAGTCAGGGGCTGTGGAACAGAGTGAATATCACACACCCGTCCCTGTGGGCTGGCCGTCTAGCCAGGGGCAGGAGAGACTAGATATTAATAATCCGTTAAACATACAAATAGCTATGTGATTACGACTGACTGTGCTGATTCCGTGGGAGGGAAGGGTGGGGTGGTGGGAAAAGGTATGTGTGTAAGCGGGGGCGGTATGGGTAGGCCTCTGGCTATCCCGGTCCTGCTTGGAATGTCGGACCAGTAGTTTGGGTTCGAGAGGGAGGCTGCACAGCGGGACTGGACAAGCCCACCCAGGGGGCCTCAGGCCTGCGGGAGGTAGAGTTTGACCGAAAGCATGGGAGAGATGAGAAACTAGTTAGACTTGTAGACTGGGGCACGGGGCAACGAGGTGTACCGTTCAGGAAGAGCCTCTGGCGGCTGGGGCTGGGGGGAGGACAGTCTGGAGAGGTGCAAGGAAGGATGCTGGGTGAGGGGCCATTCCAGAGGCCCCTGGGATGACCCGTGGGTGGTACCCCAGGGGCCGCAGGTGTGAAGCCTAGCACTTCTACGGGGCTTAGAGGCTCTTCCCGGCCAGCTCCATCCCGGGGCCGCGTTCTGGAAAACGTCCGTTTAGGCACCTCACTACGAGACAGCGTGACCAGCTCACCCTGGTTAGCCCAGGACTCTCCTGGTTTTGGTATCTGGGTGTCCGGTCCCAGGGCAGCTTGGACAGGATTGAACGGGGCAGGAAGTCGGCTTCCCTCACGCACGGGGCCTCCCCTCCCTGTCTCCTCCAGCGGGCTGGATACGGGCTTAGAGGCTAACTCCCTGTGGGGCCCGGGGCAAGTGGCTTGGCCTCTCTGGGCCACTGTCTCTTCCGTTGTGAAACGGAATTTGACCTGGAGTGCTTGTTGGGTCTCCTAGCTTTCCTGACTTCCTGGCCTGTGGCTGCATTTCTTTTCTTTTTTCTTTTTTCCCCCATATATTTTATTGATTTTTTACAGAGAGGAGGGAGAGAGAGAGATAGAGAGCTAGAAACATCGATGAGAGAGAAACACCGACCAGCTGCCTCCTGCACACCCCCTACCGGAGATGTGCCCGAACCAACGTACATGCCCTTGACTGGAATCAAACCTGAGACCCCTCAGTCCACAGACCAACGCTCTACCACTGAGCCAAACCGGTTTCTGCCTGTGGCTGCATTTCAAAGCGTAATGCAGAGAACCAACAGGAGAAGACAGGGCCATGTACCTACGGGATAGCCTTGGGCAAGATCCCTGCCTCCCCATGCTTCCCTCCTCCCCCACAAAATGGGAACAGTAGCACCTCCCGCGTGGAAATGTACACACTAAGCTAAGGAAAATTGTTCCGTGTGCTTGCATAGCTGGATACTCAGTAGTTGGAAGTATGGATGCTCTGGTTAGGGAAAAGTATGATTGAGAGAGATGGTATTTCCTATGCAGTGACTGCCAGTTTTCAAACAATTAGGATGTGACTAAGCACCCTCACATCTCAAATTTTATAGCATGTGCCTTTCGTGGCACTCACAGTCTGTTAAGATTGCCTTTCACCTCTGAATGCCTAGTTCCATGTGGTGGAGACTAGGTCCTTCTTGCCATCCCCCCACCTCCCACCCCTAATAATATGTATTGAGTTCGTTGAGGTCACATTATGCCTATTTTACAGATGAGAAAAACGAGGCTCAGGCTGGTTAGGTGTCCTGCGTTTAAAAGGGGAAGTCAGAATTTGGAGCTAAATCCAATTCGAGGTCCTGTTCTTTCCACTAATGGGCCTCTATTTCCTCAGGGGGTGCACAGGGAGGACGAGGCTAATTGGGGGGGGCGGGCGGGGAGGCAGGAGGCAGAGCTGATGAAGCTCTGAGTAGGACTAGAGGGAGCAGCTATGGTGGGCCTGGCACTACACTGGCAGCCTGGCCTGATCCTCGTGAGGACAGGAACCTTTGGGATGTTGCTGTCTCACCTAACTGGTTGCCATGAAGACAGGAGGAGGAGGTGTGTACACACACACACACACACACACACACACACACGAGCGCGCGCTAAGATGTATTTCAAATCTGCTACCCGGGTTTGCCTCAGAGATGTCACCAACGGGTGGGCAGACCAACCCAATACTCTTGAGTGAAGGCAAGGAAAAATCTGTTCTTCACTTTTAAATTGATATTTATTATGAAAAACTTGAAGGATGCACAAGAGCAATGTGATGCCATGAACCCCAACTACCCAACTCCCAGCTTCAAAAACCACCATCGCTCAGCCAATCTTGTTCCACCTATACCCGTTCTTCTCCTCCTTCATCTCAGATATTTAGAAATGGTTTAGAAACCATACAGAAATGGTTTCTTTTTTTCTTTTTCTTTTCTTTTTTTTTTTAGTTGTTCCCATTTCATCCTCTGGGAAGAAATGGTTTCTTTTGCACGTATTTTAGTATATGACTCCAAAAGAGGAGTGGGGTTAATACCATTTAACCCCAACTAAAGCTAACAATAATGCTTTAATATCAGCAAATATCTACTCAATGTTCAAAAGTCTTTGGTTGTTTCATAAATGTTTTCTTTACAGTTGGGATAAAATTGGGATCCATACAAGTGTCACCCATTGGGATTGGTTGATGTGTCTCTGACGTCTCTCAACCGGCAGTCCTCTCTGGCTCCTTTTTTCTTCCCGTGCATTGTCATTGGTGAGAAGCTGGGTTGGTTTGTCTGTAGAAGAGCATCATACAGTCTAGATTTTGCCTGTTGCGTCACCATATTGGTATCACACATGATCCTCTCTCCCTTACATGTAAAGCAGTAATTAGATCTAGAAGCTACTTAGATTAATGTGTGTGTGTGTGTGTGTGTGTTTATGATGACTTCCAAGTGGCTGTGTTGGATTTCCATTTGAAGGCACACAATGTCTGATGATGTTAGCACCATCAATGATCACTGTTTAGACCCGTTAGAGTTTGCAAAATAGTGACGAATAAGTCCTATCCTTCCATATTTGTGTGCTGGCTGGAATACCTCCATAAAAAGACACTTCCTTTATCAGCTATTTCGTTACTGTAAGGTATGGTTCATACCAGAAAGGAAAAATGCTTGATTCTTTCCTTTTTACTTGACAGTTTTCAAAATGATGAGTTGGTTTCTGAACATCCCCCAAAGATGACAAATGAGTTTTTGCTTTCTTACAGGGTACCATTGTGAACTCGTAGGTGTGGACATCTGTAACACATTCCAGTCCAGTGTGTTACTATTCTTATTGATGCTCGGCTGTCCCACCTGGCCAGCCGTCCTATCACAGTGTCCCCTTCATCTTTCCGGACACGGCCCAGAGTCTCCCAGAGCTCCCACACTCCCAGGGTGACGGGACGTTCTAGGCTCCTCTCGCACATGTCCTGCCTCAGACCTGGGATCGGCTGTCTCTGCACAGAACCCAGTTTCTCGTCAGAAGTGGTGTGGAGAGACCCTAATGGGAGTGCTGGCGGTGCTCACTGTGACGGAGTTGGTCCGTATTCCTAACCCTTCCCGCGGGCAGAGCCGGGAAACACCTTCATTCTGTGAGGCCGATGGCAGCGTGGGTTCACCCCGAGGCCTCCACGCCAACGACGGGGCTGCAGACGCCACTTCGTCCCAGTGGTCTCCAGTCCCGTCTCCTTTCTCCCGTGGCAGCGTGACCGGGCCTGTTCCTGGAAGCAGAGCTCCCCGCTGTGTCTCCAATGAGCCGGAAGCATGTGGGAAAGCACCTCAAGGCTTTCCTGCCTGCAGACAGGAACCCGCTCGAGCTGTTTGATGCAAGGCTCAGAGGCAGCCCTCCAGGAAGCCCACGTCTGGGTCCACAGCGACTCCATTCTGCTGGGAGGTGAACGAGTCCTTTCCATCCTCCTGTGTGTGGACCAGCTCTTCTAGCTGCTCCCAATCCTGGCTGGACACGTGGGGAAGTAACAATATAAAGCCCCTCAAGCCTGTCTTACCCCCGCCCCCCTGGTCACAGTTAGGTCAGAATCTCCAGGGCCGGGACCATATCATCAATATTTTTAGAGCAGTCCCGGTCATTTGAATGTGCAGCCAGGGTTTCACATCTCAGCTCTAGTCCCCACTTCTCAGCCCAAGGAAGAGAAGCGAGAAGCAAGGGGTAACGGTAGAACAGTGCTGCCAACGGCTCAGGTTGGAGTCCTACCTGCAAACATTCTGGGTCAGCACTGACCACTGGAACTTTCCACCGTTGTCGAAATGGCCTGTGTCGGTGCTGTCCAGTGGGGCACCCACCAGCCACACCTGGGGAGTGGGCACCAGTGCAACCTAGGGAGTGAATTTTTAAAATTTTTAAAAATTAATTTAGACATAAATAGCCACACGTGGCTAGTAGCTACAGACTTGGACAACGCCACTTGGGAAAGTTACTCAACACCTAGAAACCTCGTATCTGTCAATTAGGGACGAATAAGAGTTTCTTCATTGGGCTGTCGTCAGGATTAGAGATAAAGTGTAATACGTGCCTGGTGCGCCCAAGGCATTCGATAAAATGACGCTTATTTCCTGATTAACATCAGCCTTTCATGCCTAAAAAACAAACACCAAAAATAAAAAAATAAAATAAAAACTCTTGACTGGAAAAATGAGTGCTCAGAAGCACCCTACCACAGAGAAAAAAATTCTAAGCTGTTCCAGAAAAATCCTTGGAAAATATTCCTTCATTGTCAAGTTCAATTGCAGCAGGAGGTTATCAGTTGCAAGGGCTGTATTTCATTACAGATCTTGCCACAGCTCAATAAATTAAGCAATCACTCACAATAACGTGCCGCTTTAATCCCACCTGGAACGGTTTCAGGTTGTGGGGTGTTTGTATTCGCATAGCCCTTGAAGGGCCACTCACACTGGCCTCCTTCCTCCTCCCTCGATTCATCAGCTCCTCTCTGCGTCTCCAGGCCAGCAGGAGGGAGGGCTGGAGGCAGAGCAGACCTCCTTTTATCCAAACCGGAGCGTTTCCCAGCCTCTGGCCCTTGCGGGATCTGCATTTCGTTCCCTGAAATTGCCGGCAGGTTTATCTGCCGCTAAGACAGAAAGCCACACCGCTCAGCAGCCCGGATCTGCATGCGGAGAGCGAACTTGCCTCGGCTTTTCCATCCCCCTCGGCTCCCTGGCGGTTTGTCATCTCACAGCCGAATTCATTTCCCCGAGAAACTTGGCACCAGAAGTGTCAAGCCCGGGAACATATTTGTTTGTGTAAATTAGAAGAAAAATATGTCTTGTCCATATTTAAGTTCTGAAGTTATAAATACCGGGCTACACAATGCTTCTTCCTGAACAGTCCCTGCTCACCTCCCCACACTCTGCCCGCGTGTATAAAGCCCAAGCTGGCGAGAACTCGGCGTGGCTCATGGCCTCAGAAAGCCCCGGGGATGACCTCAGAGGCTGGGTCCGCCCCATCCAGGCTGCCATGGGATGTCTACTTACCTCACTTAGGATTGGCTCCCCTGACACGCGGGGTCCCTGCCGCCCTCACACACACACTGCTCACCGGTGTGGGGATGATGCCAGCTTTTGGAAGGGCCGTGGGCCGTAGCTGTAGAAATTAAAATGCACATATCCTTTGACAGAGAAGTCCCACTTCTTTCCCAGGCCCCAGTGTGTTCAGTGCTTAGAGTAGGGGTGTCGAACTCAATCAGAGAAGGGGCCAAAATCTAAAATCCAGCCTAAATCGCAGGCCGAATGGTTTACTGAACAGTCATAAACTGTCATTGTGATGGAAACACAGCGGAGTGCAGTGATGACAGCGCGGTGCGGGCCACATTGCAAGGCCTGGCGGGACGGATTTGGCCCGCGGGCCTTGTGTTTGACACATGTGGCTTAGAGCATCAGCTGCGTTCCAAGGGTCGCAGGTTCAATTCCTGGTCAAGGGTGCATGCCTGGGTTGGCTCCCTGTCCCCTGCTGGGGGCCATGCTGGAGGTAGCCAGCTGATGTGTCTTTCTCTCTCCCTTCTTCTTCCTCTCCCTCCCTCCCTCTCTTCTTCCCTTCCACTCTCTCTGAAGAGCAATGGAAAAAATATCCTCTGGTGAGGATTAACAAATAGAGACAGAGAGAAAGAAAAAGAGAGTGAGTTCCACTTCCAGGAATGTACCCTCTGAGTATACTCAAAGAGCATGTGCTTTTCAACAACAATATCCTGGAGTTAACTAAAATGTTGGCCAGTGTGGGACGGTTAAGAAGATGCCGTGATAGAAGTCACTAGAATGAATGAGGTGGGTCAGAGGGCTGTCCTGACTTCAGAATATATTGTAAGACACCGATTATCTTAATGTTATGAGCAAATAAAGTGTATGCAGCCTGGCCGATGTGGCTCAGTGGTTGAGCGTCGACCTAACCAGGAGGTCACAGTTTGATTCCCGGTCAGGGCACATGCCCGGGTTGTGGGCTTGATCCCCAGTGTGGGGTGTGCAGGAGGCAGCCGATCAATGATTCTCTCTCATCGTTGATGTTTCTCTCTATCCTTCTCCCTTCCTCTCTGAAATGAAAAATTGCAAAGGGGCTCCTTTACTTCCCACATATACTCTTCTGTACTGTTTTTATCATAAGCCTGCTACGGTTTCTTTCAATTGGGATAATTAAAAAACAAAATGGTGTTCTAAAAATCATCTTCACGCTCTGATTGGAGCAACATAATACAATAATAATACTCTTTTCATTATGTCTGTCAGGTCAGTGCAGTGTTGGTGGGAATCTTGGATTTTTCTGCTCTTTGTGCAAATTTTCCTATAGTGGGCTGAATGGTGGTCCCAGGGAGCTAAGATATACCCACTTCCTAATCCCCGGAACCCGTAAATGTTACCTAAGGTGGTAATGTGGCAAAAGACGTGACTAACGTAAGGGTCTTGAGAGGAGTTGTTGATCCCACATTATCCAGACAGGCACTAAATGCATCTCACATGCTCCCTGGTAAGACAGAAGCAGAGACAGACACAGAGAGGAAAACGTAAGACAGAGGCAGAGACTGGGGGGATGCCGCCACAAGTCAAAGAACATCAGAGCCACCAGAAGGCAGAAGAGGCAAGGAACGAATTTTCCCCTGGAGCACCTGGGGGTGGGGGTTGGGGGGTGGGCATAGGGAGTGTGTAGCCTGCCAGAGTTTGGATGTCTGGCCTTCAGAACCGTGACATAACAAATTCCTGTTGTTTTAAGCCACTTTGTAGTACAATTGACCCTTGAACAGTGAAGGAATTAGGGGGACCACCTACCACACAGCCCAAAACCGTGTTTTAACTTTTGACTCCCCGAAACTTAGTTGTCCCTCCGTGTCCGCGGGCATTGGTTCCAGGGCCCCCGATGGACACCAAAATCTACAGGTGCACAGGCTCCTTGGATAAAACGGCGTAGATCAATGCGTACTATTGACCCTCTGTGTCTGTGGGTGCCCAAGCACAGAGTGAAAGCAGGACAGATACTTACTGGAAAATAATAATGTGTAAGTGGGTCTGTGCAGCTCCAATCACGCTGTTCAAGTTTTAGTAGTCATGGGTTAGGGCTGCCTTAGGAAACGAATACGTCGCCGACGTTCATAGCACCTGCCAAATGCGTGAAGTGCCTGGCTCTTTTAAGAAACAAGCTTGGTAACCGAAACTGGTTTGGCTCAGTGGTAGAGCATCAGTCTGCAGACTGAAAGGTCCCAGGTTCGATTCCGGTCAAGGGCATGTACCGTGGTTGCGGGCACATCCCCAGTAGGGGGTATGCAAGAGGCAGCTGGTCGATGTTTCTCTCTCATCGACGTTTCTAGCTTTCTATCTCTCTCCCTTCCTCTCTGTAAAAAATAAAATATATTAAAAAAAACAAAACAACAACAAGCTTTGTTAACCTGTGGCTTTGGTGAACATAGATAAATGCATTCATTCATTCCAAAAGGCATTTATTGAGCATCTACTAGGTGACAGGTCACGTTCCAGGTGCTAAGGATACAGCAGAGAACAGAACTAAGATGCCTGCCCACCTGGAAGTAACATTCCAGTGAGAAGCAGTAAGTAGTATTCATGGAGAACTGATAGTAGCAGAAGGTGCTAGAGGATAAGAAAGCACAGGAAAGGGAAGGGGCCAGGAAGGGGACTGGGAGAATACACTTTACTCAGAAGGTGACACTGGAGTAGAGGAAGCCAATACAAAACGTGACTGACTTTCCGAGTCACCCACTGGCTGGACCAGAATTAATGGGAATGAGCACCCTCTTCTCCCCTCCTTCTTTCTTCCCTGCCTCCCTCCTTCCTGTTGTGTGCCAGCAGCTGGGGGTGCAAAGATGAGTGAGCCCCAAGGCCCCATGCTCCCGGTTCTCACTCTTGGGGCGAGCATTCATAAACAAGTCGTTACAAATGCAACACGGTGGGCCGCAGAGCAGAGGCCAGGACAAGCTTCGAGCTCTGTCCACGGCGGAGAGCTGGGTGGGAGAAGAGGGGGGTGTGGGGACGGGGTCTGGGAGATGGAGACAAGCAGGAAGGGGGCCGTGGTGAGCTCCAATTCCGTGGGAACTTAATTGGGAGGGGCCCATGGACATGTGTCTAGGGCAGTGTTGGCAAACAATTGGCAAACTCTTCAGTCAACACAGCCAAATATCAACAGAAGGATTGAAAATTTTTTTGAGAGCCACATTTTTTAAACTTAAACTATATAGGTAGGTTCATTGTCATTAACTTCATTAGGGTACTCTTAAGCTGGTCTTTGCTAAAAACTCAAGGGGCCAAAGAGCCGCATGTGGCTCGAGAGCCGCAGTTTGCCAACCACTGGTCTAGGGATTCTTTTATCCTCAAGTACAGCAGGCACACCTAGAGGAGAATGAGCTCTGAGGACAGCCTCCCCCTTTCAGTGCCACACAACCCATGAAGAGGGAATTGGGATGCTTTGGGCCACGCAGAAGCCAAAGTTGATCTCGTTGGGGTAGAATGGGGGGTTATTCACTCGGGCAGCTATGACGAAGGAGAGCCTGAGCTGATCCAGGGACTGGAAGGCTCTGGGGTCAGAATGCAGCCCTAGTCTCTCTTCTACTCCCACTTCTCTCCTCCATTCCATCTCTCCTTTAGGCTCCTCTCTGCTCAGTAGGCCTCAATATCTGGGGCACAGGTAGCTCTGGATACTGGGGAGGATGAAAGGCAACCTTCCCACCAGCTCGTTAGGACACTCCTGGATTGGCCCCCTGCTTGGGTCACGTGACCACACCTGAACCAATCAGAAGTGTGCTGCTGTGATTCGTGGTGTTGGGTCAGGTGTTACTGTAGCTGAGGGATGGGTGTTATGAGGCCTTCTTCAGCCATTCCCACTGGGTGTCTCTCATCTGATACAGGAAGTGGGAGAGAGTGTTGGCAGAAAAAAAAGCAAAAGCGGAAACAGAATCACCTACCTCTGTAGCCTTCTCCTGGCGGTGCTGCTGCCACTCTCGGCTGGGCTTTGCTTTAAGAATCGCTCTGGCATCTACAAACCCCAGAGCTGCCAGAATTTACTTAGACCTCATTGCTGTAGTCGCTTTTGTAATTGTTATTACATTTTTTAAATCCCACTTAACAATGCTTTGTTCATCTCCTGCCTCCATGGGGAGGAGCTGGGTCTGTCTTGGTTGCTATACCGCTCCTACCCACTACACAGTCCCTCATGTGCCATAGGTACTCAAGTAACTGATGAATGAATGAACATTCATTGAATATCCTAGAGAAGAGGAGGAGCTGCAACCTCCGTATCTGCTCTCTCCTCCTGGGTCCCTCTCCTCCCTCTTCCCAGTCGTGTCATATACCCCTCTTGACAAGGTTGTCAGTGTCAGCGCAGCCTTGGATGCACTTAAGGCTCGGGATTTCTGCATTCTTGGGCTGAGAATCTGGATAAGTGCGGGAACTAAGGTTCCATTGGTTGGAAGAGGCTGCTCTTTGAGGAGGAGAATGGAGCTCTGTCTGAGCTGGGAGGGGCCGGGGGCCATGACTGGCTGCCAGTGTCGGCCGTACCACCTGCCTCTCGTGGGCACTGCTGGTCCCCCTGCAGCTCCGTGCTGTTTGCTGGCCAGCGGGCCTCTGTGGTGAAGACTGCAGGCCTATTATGGGCTGTGATATCAGAGTACACCCGGAGTCCGGGACACAGTGGTGTGGCCAAGTCAAACAACTGGAGGCTCTTAGGGAAGAAGGCTTAAGACAAGTGGCTGTTTGTGTGTGTGTGTGTGTGTGTTTAAGTACTTATAACCCACATGTGAGCTGGGGTCATCTCATTTTTTTTGGAGACTCAAATGCAATAGGTTTGAACCCTGTCCCACATACCAAGGGGGACCCACTGTCCTTGGACCTTTTCCAGGGATTGGGGTTGACGGGTCCCTATGTCTCTCCCAGGCGTCAGAGGCGCTGAATTCCTGCGTCCAATGAATCAGTGCTGCTTGGGCAACCTTTTGCTGGTCTCATGGGCACGTGGCCTGTGCAGCTGCATAGGGCCAACGTTTGGTGTTACGCTCTGCTCTTGTCATTTTAAAACACATTATTAGTTTTTGAATAAAGGGCTCCACATGTTCATTTTGTATATTCTGTCACCAGTCCTGTTTCCCTCAGAAGCTACTCCTTTTCCACCCACACGGACCCACTGGAGACTCCTTTGGATTCCTTCCTTCTCCCCAGATTCCATCCACACAACCGTGTGGGCGCAGGAGACCTGAACGGATGGTTTGAGGCAAAAGACCTTTTCGCCATGTTAACAACGTAAACTGAGGTGTTTAAACTGGCTTCCAATGCCTCAGCGGGAAAACAAAGTGGAGAAGGGCAGGCTGGAGCATCAAGACTGACAAAAGGCCAAAACCGGTTTGGCTCAGTGGATAAGAGCGTCGGCCTGCGAACTGAAAGGTCCCGGGTTCGATTCCGGTCAGGGGCATGTACCTTGGTTGTAGGCATATCCCCAGTGGGGGGTGTGCAGGAGGCAGCTGATCAATGACTCTCTCTCATCGATGTTTCTAACTCTCTATCCCTCTCTCTTCCTCTCTGTAAAAAATCAATAATATATATATATATATATATATATATATATATATATATATATATATAAAACTGACGAAGGGTTGATAATTGTTGAACCTGGATGATGAGCATGGAGTGCTTGTTACAGTGTTTTCTCAGGGATGGGAAATTTTCAGAATTCAAAATTGGAAAAAGCAATGTAAGACGCGCCTCTGACAGTTCCTCAGAACGTTAAACGTGGCGTGACCGTGTGACCTTGCAATTCCACTCCTAGGCACAGACCCAAGAGAAAGGAGGACGTACGTCCACACAAAAAGCACGAATAGTCACAGCCGCGTTATTCAAAAAAAGCCAAAAAGTGTCAACAATGGACATCTCTGCCCACTGGCAGGTGGATAAACAAAAACGTGGCTGTTATTTGGCTATTAAAGGGAACGCAGCTCTGAGATGTGTGGGAGCACGGGTGAACCCTGAGAGCACTGTGCTAAGTGAAAGAAGCCAGTCACAGAGGATCACATACTGATGACTCCATTTGCATGAAGTATCAAATCCTCAGAGACAGGAAACAGAGGAGTGCTTGCGTAGGGTGGGGGTGGGGTGCATTGGAGGTTCAGGGGTGAGGGCAATGCCCAAGGGTGCGGAGTTTCTTTCCGAGGTGATAAAAGTGTTCTAACATGGATTGCCACGATGGCTGCCTACATCTGAATATACACCAAGCCACTGGATTATATACTTTCAGTGGAGGAACTGTATGGCTCATGAACCCTATCTCAATAAAACTTTTTAAAAAAATACATATTTTATTGATTTTTTTACAGAGAGGAAGGGAGAGGGGATAGAGAGCTAGAAATGTCGATGAGAGAGAAACATCGACCAGCTGCCTCTTGCACACCCCACACTGGGGATGCGCCTGCAACCAGTGTACATGCCCCTCACCGGAATTGAACCCGGGACCTTTCAGTCCGCAGACCGACGCTCTATCCACTGAGCCAAACCGGTTTTGGCTTTTTTTTTTTTTTTTTTTTTTTTTTTAAAGCATGCCCTCCCCCATCCTCTTGACAGGAATCCTGAAGCTCCAGCCTCTGGCCTGTTGGGGAAATTGCCCCCCTGCTCCCCACACACCCAGTCGCCACCCCACTTGCGGTTACCTTTTCTGTGTCTTAAGACATTTTTCCTTCTCTGAAGAGGTGACCTTTCCCACAGCCAGCGTGCCCCACTGAGGGTTTTCCTTTAACGACAGCACTTTCCACTTTCAAAGTTACTCAGTTGACAGATAATAAAATCGCAATTTAAAATCCCCATGGTATGCCATTCTAGCAGTCACTAGTGCGCCTAAGCAGCTGTGAATTCCAAGAGCTCCATAATTCCTTCAGGGAAAGAGAGGCCACGCAAACTCTCCAGAGCCAGTGGTCTTCGTTCTGACATGTAACTTACGTTACCTCACAGGTGGGGAGAGGGGCTGGCAAAGAAGGCTGCCAGAACCAGGTGCTTCCTAACAGAAAGGCAGGGTTTTGAACCTGGAACATGGTGGGCAATCTATAGTTTGTGGGCGAAATGCGGCCCGCTTCCCGTTTCTGTAAATAAAGTTTTATTGGAACTGCACAGACACCTATGTTCCTTTGCCTATGTTTATCAATGGCTGGTTTCTTGCTCCAGTGGCAGAGTGGACTAGCTGGGTAGAGACCACGTGGCCTGCAGAGCCTAAAATATGTAGCTGCTGGCCTCTGGGAGAGACGATTTGGGCTTGAAGCCCAGCCCATCACATGCTGGAGGTGTGACCTTGGACAAGTCGGTTTCTCTCTCTACGCGTGTTTCTCTTCCAGAGATCATAATAGTGCCTCCTTTATAGGCTGCTGGTGCAACTCAAAGGACTTGAAAAACGTGCAAAGTGCCTGGTACTCAATATCTGCTGGCGATTATAACGTCCTTTAGAAAATGAGGACAGTAACTCCTACTTCACAGGGTTAGCTGAAGCCACGGAGACAATGCCTATGCACGTTTATTATTGTTATAAATCGCTTAAAGGCTTCTGAAACGATTCTTTGCTTTTTCGTAGTATTTATAATTTGGAGCTTTGAGACTGTAAGAACTCTAATTTCAGAGGAAAAAAACGACATTTAATCCAAAAAAACTCAAACGCTTTCATAAGCTGCTCAGGAAATTGTGCTCCCTGACCCCTGGCTGGGACTTGAACCGCCCAGAACAAAAACCTGAGAATGCTTTCAGCCGAACACGGCCCTTCCCCCCAGGACAGACGCACAGGAACCTGGGACCACATGCCTGAACCACTCATGTTGGGTGAGGGAGAGGAAAGAAACTTGTGTCTCCACCCCCTTCAGGGGCTGTCCACAGGCCTGCTGAGGCGGCCGGGGCTGACACAGCCTGCTTTCCTGCAAGGTGTCATTTCAATAGCTTTGGTACCGGTCAGTCTCCCATTCATTGATTGCATCAACCCTATTAACTGAGCAGCTAATACATGCGAGGCCGTGAGGATATAACAATGACTGAGTTGGGGTTCCTGACCTTGGCAACTGCCTGCCCGCATTCTAATAGGGGCAACACACACACACATCCTTGGATAATTCGGCCCCCTGATAAATCTTCCTTTTCCCCCCAGAATTTCAGGCCCACACTAAACACTGTATTGATGATCTGAAAAATGATTCTGGACCTGGCTGCCTGATGGTGGGAGTTGTGTGGCAGGTTTGGCCAAAACCAGTTTGGCGCAGTGGATAGAGCGTCGGTCTGCGGACTGAAGGGTCCCAGGTTCGATTTTGGTCGAGGGCATGTACCTTGGTTGCAGGCACATTCCCGGTGGGGGGTGTGCAGGAGGCAGCTGGTCGATGTTTCTCTCTCGTTGATGTTTCTAACTCTCTATCCCTCTCCCTTCCTCTCTGTAAAAAAATCAATAAAATGTATTTTTTTTTTTTTAAAAGAGAGAGAGAGTGGCAGGTCTGGAGTAAGTCAGATCTGGGTAAGACTGGCGACATAATTTGCCAAAAGAAAACCTGGAGCGGCTGGTTCCAAAATTATTACAAATTTCAAGATGACAACAGCAGGGCATTCAGGCAAGTGCAGAGCCCCTAACCCTGACGCCGGCCCTGCCCCTGGGGCCAAAGGTCTTTCCCAGCTGGGTACCCTGGGGCACATGCCTTCACCTGCCTGCGCCTCAGTTTCCTCATCGGAGCAGGCCCAGCTGCGGGCTGGTTGTGGGCATTCCCGGAGACCAGGCTCGGGAGGCTGAGCGGGGAGGAAGGACTCACCGTCTTACCAGTGTCCTCAGCCTGCGGGGACGGCCGCCCTGCCGCCTGGAAGAACAGGGCACGTGGATTATTCTTAGAGAAGAGCTGAGACATAGACAGCGCATGGTCGATAGCCTCGGTTCTTCAGGGATGTCCGCGTGCTTCATCCTCACTGCAGCTCTGTCACGGAGACACTTTTACTCCAGCCCGGAGCCAGGGGAGCTCAGGAGCGGGGACTTGCCTGAGGTCACCTGAGGCCACACAGCAGTTGGTGGAAGAGTCCAGATTCAAACAGGGGACATCTGGCCCCCAGGTCTGTGCTCTTCAGCTAGCTGTGTGTCCCCGGAGCGGACACATTATTGACACGCACATGTGCAAATGCAGGCATGTATGCACGACCCTCCCTGAGATGCTCACGCTAAGCCTGCAGTGTGGAATTTCCCACACAACATGGGATTCTTTCTTTCTTTGCTGACTCTTTCATCCATCTCCCCACCACCACCCCGACTCGACTGGGATCCCCACGTACCCCCTGCTGTGCCCCAGCGCCTGTCACAGGGCTTGGCACACAGTAGGTCCTCAGCAGACAAGTGCCCAGTGAAGGGAGGCAGGAAGGAGGGGTCTGGTCAGAGCGCTCTCATCCAGAATCAACAGGAGCCATGTCACCCCGTCACCTGGCTTTTCTATCCTCTCTGTGGGGAGAGGCAGTTAAGGGGTGGCCCCAGGGCCCAGCCCCTATTCTGGCAGGCTGCTGGGCAGGAGTGGGTGTGGGGTGTGCTCTGGCAGCTGGGCTGGCAGCTGTCTAGGTGCCCGCCCCAGCTGGCCAGCTGGGCCCCGCTGCCACCCCCACCCCATGACACAGCAGAAAGTGAAACTGGAGTCTGCCCCTGCCCAGCGGGGATCCAGTGTTCACTGCTTCCCCTCCAAGCCCCTGTCCCAGGAGCGGGCGGGGAGCTGGTGCCCGGCCAGGCACAGGGGGACCTGTTAGCCGAGGGTCCTGCTGTGCCCCCATGTCCATCCCAGGGCTGCTGCTGCCCTTTGGGACCCCTCAGAGCTGCCCGACTGGGTCCCTGCTCTGGCTCAGAGGGTTTATTATTCTCCCCATTTCACTGAGAAGGTGCCTCGGCCGGGAAAGAGGGCGCGGGGGCATCACGGTCCTAAGATAAGAGGTAAATAAGAGCCACGGGGTGGGTGTAGCGGCCGGGGTCTGAGGGGGTCTTGTTGTTGGCGAGCAAGGAAGGGGCGGGCCCTCTCCATCAAGGGAAGACACGTGACACCCAGGTTGTCAGGGTGTCTGGCTGTGTGTCCCACTGCAAATGCAGACGGTAGCCATTGTTTTCCAGGATGACCCCTCCCCACCTCACCTACACGGGGTCATCTTGACAAATCCCGAAAGCAAAAAAGAACTCTAACGTAAGTGGACCCGGGAAACTTTACAAGCTACCCTCTTGGCTTCCACTCCAGCCTCCATACCGCCTGTATTCTTGGTTTAATATTTTTCTTTCTAGCAACTCACCCTTTCTTAGTTACATTGATGTAAAAAAAAAAGGGGGAGGGGGGGGCGTGCGCTTCAGTCTCAACCTGAAATTGAAAACCAATCAGTTGCCACGAATAGAAATGAGCTGTTCCAAGAAGTACCTATCAGAATAAGTTAGCCAGGTGCCACATCGGACTTGGGAAGCTTTATTCCTGTAACTGGGTTTCATCTGTGAGACAGGGGAGCTCAGAGTGATGGAATCACTTGCCTGGGGTGACACTGATTCCAGAAACCAGCGCTCGTGTGGGCTGCAGCCCCCCCGCCCCCCCAGCCGTCTTGGCATATCCGGCACGTGTGAGTACATACACGCTCGCACCCATGCCTTCCACGCTGAATGTGCGCACTGCTCCGTGTTCAGAGCGCCTGCGCAGCTGGTCGCTGCCACTTTGGGAACAACCAAGACCCCTTTGAGACCGGAGCCGGGGCTGCTGCCCCTCCCAGGCGGGCAGGGAAACCGAGGCAGGGAGTGGGAAAGCGATCTGGCTCGGGCTGCAGGTGAGCACGCCAGCGCTGCCCAGGGCCCGTGCCAAGGCGAGGATCCCAGAGGGCCTGCCGGAAGACACCAGGCTGCAGAGTGTGAAACTCACCTTGTCCAACAGGTAGCACCTGTTTCTTCCCCACTTCCCCCACCCCCTCGTCCCCTGCCAGGAACCCCACTGCAGATGCAGACAGTAGGCCCAGCCACCCCGTTCCCCAGGCCTGAGCTCCCACACGCCGTCCCTGCGGGGCAAACAGCACGCGCAGCCACCCGTGTCTGCAGGGGGCGGCAGGCACCAGAGGAGAGTGTAGGGTAGGGGTGGGAGGGGGAGAGCATTTCCTCTCTTCCCTTCGTTGCTGGAGGAACTCAGACCTGCCATCTTCCCAGCTGTCCGGGGCCGGCCTGGGGCCCCCGAGGAATACTGCAAGAGCAATAAGGATTTTTAGGGGCATTATGATAGTGGAATGGAAACACATCTGCCCCCAAAAGTCCCTCATTTTCCCTGCGGTAATGAACCAGCTGGGCAGGAAGTGGTGGCTCTCTGAGCACCAGGAGCCAAAGCTAAAAAGGAAAAAAAAAAGCACCAAGTTAGAGCAAACGCTCAAACGCCAGGGCTTTCGTGGGGCACGGCGGCTCAGCCCCGGCCCCAAAGCCAGGTCGGGACTGGCTGGTATCTGGCTACACGCGTCTCCATGCAGCGGCTACGGCGCAGACGGGCCACCTCTGAGCCCAGAAAACCAGGAGCAGGAACCTCAGAGCAGGTGCCAGGGGTCCCTCCCCAACGCCAGGCCCTTGCCGGACCCCGAGACCCTAACGGTGATTCCAAACTCTCGCTCATCTTAGTGTTTCCCAAACTTTTGACATATGTGTACCCCTTCTATAATTTCCGTATCGCTGAGTACCCCTCGTACTCATGAGAACGTAGAATCAGGCGCAGCTAAGCACAGTGCAGTGCATATCCCCACCAAACTCCGGTGCCACGTGTACCCCCACCAAACTCTTCCCGTACCCCTGGGGGCACGCGTACCACACTTTGGGAAACCCTGATCTAAGTGAACCGGGACTCCGTCAGGGCCCCCTCCCCTGGAATATGGGAACGTTAGTCAGTCAACGGGGAGACCCGGATGGAAACAGCTGGAAAGCGAGCAGCGGTCTCCACGGCCGTCCAATGGACAGGAGGGTGAAGACCTGATCAGGGGAGCCCAGAGGCTATCACTGAGGGGGCAGAAGGGCTCGGAAATCCCTGCTCTGGGCCATGCACTATCCCTCCGGGCCCACCACTGAGGACTGAGGACAAAGGAAGGAGTCCGGGGCAGTGGCCCCCATGGGGCACGTGGCCCCTGAGGTCTCCACAGGCCCACCAGCACTCCCTGTGCCCACCAGCACCCCGGCTGCAAAAGGGTTAACCCCTCCCATAGTCACTGACACCCCAAGGAGGAGGGAGAGGGAGGGGGAGAAGGAGGAGGAGGAGGCTGCTCACTCAGCAAGCTGGCTGTGGCATATCGCACTGGGCCATCGCAGGAGAGAGAGGGACTCAAACCGGCCTCTGTGAGCTCTGTGAATGGAGGCGCCCTTATCGCCCACAGGAGGAAAATGGGGCGACAAGCTCCCCGACACACAGACCCAGCCACCGCCGGGGCCCTCGCGGCTCCTTGGCACCTGTCGCGTGGCCCTGGGTCTCTGGCGGGCACTCCGGCACCCACGCCAGCCTGCGCGGGAGCAGGCCTGCCCTGGCCATGTGACAGCCAGCAGCCGGGTCTCCTCTTTCAAGCAGCACCCAGCATATTCTGCGGGTGAACCGAAGGCTAAATATGGGCCCGGTCTGGCCCTCGCCGTGCCAGTCTAAGATGCAGTCGGGAGCCCACAAGGCCTTGGGGTGGTCCGGTGTACCCAGGGGCTGGGGCCGACGGGAGTCCCATGGGCATGGCTGACTCCGGGCTGGATGGAACTTCCTTTCCCTGCTGCCTTCTCTCCCAGAATGCTCATCCAGTGCTCTCTCTGGGCACCCTCCCAGGGGGGCTCCAATGGATGTCCCTTCATCTGCCTAGTGGGCCCACGGAGGGTCCCCCAAAGCCTTCTCCTCACTCCACGGCTACAACCTCGCCTTCCCTGCGGAGGCCTCCCCGTGATAAGAGGGCTCGGCGCCCGGAGGGGGGGAAGGCCCGCTGGCCGGAGAAGACGGGAGCAAACACACACAGGTGGCTAGCAGGCTGCTGAGCTGTGTGTGCTTTGTTGCTGCTCCTGGACCTCACCCCCTCGCCGCCCCCCCAAAAGGCAGGATCGCTGGGGACAGACCCCTGTTGCTAGAGAGCAGAGAGCCTCAGCCCGGGCTCGGCTCCGGAACCTTGGAGACTGGGGGGTAGATTTGCTCGGAGCCCTTAAGGCGTAAGGTGACCAGACGTCCTGATGTTTAACCATTTGTCCCTCGGCGTTTTAAAATCGGGACTTATTTAAAACGCCGCGGGACGCGGGACAAATGGTTCAAAAGCGGGACTGTCCCGCCCAAAGCGGGACGTCTGGTCACCTTACTTAGGACCACCCCATCGGTTTCCCTTCCAGCGTCTGGGAGCCTGTGCTTACGTCACAGAATGGGTTCTGCCCTCGCCGGAGCCACAGTGAGCCCTGCAGCGTCTCAGAGGAGGCTGCCCAGGGAGCCCAACAGCCCCCCTTTCTGGCCAAGCAATGCTGGGGGCTGGGTCCCAGGAGGAGAGACCCCCGGGCACCTGCTGTCTGTCCGGGGCTTGTGCGGGCTCCAGCAGCGGCTCTGAGGCCACCACGTTCGGGCCTGCGCTGGCAGCAGTCCAGGCCGCCTTGGGCAGAGATGCCAACGGGCCTGGGCACTGACCTCCCCCGTGATCCCAACAAGACGGCCTCCTCGCTGCTTTGGGCACACCTCGGCGGAAGCTCTCACACCAGGCTGCCCGGAGGCAGGCCAGCCACGCACTCCTCGCCCAGCCTGGGCCAAGTCCTCCGGCGGAGGCCCGGTCCGCCCCCACCGTCCCGTCCCAAGGCATTTTTTAAATGGCTTTCTGGTGACACCAGCACGAGTTTCCATTTCCTAGGTGTGTCTGTCTCCCTTTCATCTGCTGGTGCAGCCATTCAAGGACACCGAGGGACAATTTGGCTTTGTGGATCCTTAAGCTCAGATGTTTCTTTTTTCTTTCTTTCTTTCTTTCTTTCTTTCTTTCTTTCTTTCTTTTTTTAAAATATATTTTATTGATTTTTTACAGAGAGGAAAGGAGAGGGATAGAGAGCTAGAAACATCGATGAGAGAGAAACATCGACCAGCTGCCTCCTGCACACCCCCCACTGGGGATGTGCCGGCAGCCAATGTAAATGCCCTTGACGGGGAATCGAACCCGGGACCTTTCAGTCCACAGGCCGACGCTCTATCCACTGAGCCAAACCAGTTTCCGCCGTTTCTTTCTTTCTTTCTTCTTCTTCTTTTTTTTTTTTTTTTTTTTTTTTTTTTTTATGAGGAAGATGACGTGAAACCAGAAACGCTTTCTGCATATTTGCTCATGCCCCCTACCGCCGAGGACGCTGAGAAAGCAGCATCTGAGGGTTGGCTGCTCTGAAAAGAGATCCCTCAAGGAGGGCTCAGGGCCTCGGGGTGACAAAGGGACCCCCAATTCCACTCCTTGCAAACTCTCTTCCACAACCTACCCCCAACTCCCAACTTTGGCCTGAAAAGCCTGCGCAGCTACTAGGCCTGACAAGTCTACGGTCCTTTCCATCATGTTTGTGGAGGTGTCTGTATCCGGGGTTCACGTGCACCTCTTCCCAAACATAAGAGCAAAGAGGACTGTGTACCTCTCCCTGAGTTTGGGACGCTGGGAAAGACAGAAGTTTCCAGCTTCCGTCAAGCCAGCCAACAGTGTTTTATTTTGTTTGCGGGCGCCCCTGTGTTCTGGCAAGCGACCGTGCGTACGGAGCCGGCTAACTTTTCCAGCAGGCTAATTCCTCTTCTCACGTCTGAAATGGCTGTATGTACGATCCCAATTAAAAGAGGGTGAGCCGACCTATTATGAAGCCGTACGTTTACTATCTGGCAAGAATCTTCTTTCTGTTCTTAATATAAGGGGGGAAGGGGGGCCTGGGAAACAAGAGTTGGAGGGGTTGCTCCCTCGTGGGGACTCGTCCAGCTTTCATTGGTTTGAGTCATACAGGCATGTTTTATTTTTAAGGAAGTATCAGTTTCACTGCAACATCACCTCTAAAAATTTTACCCCCAGCTCTACCATATTCTTTCCTCTCAAAATACTTTTTCCCCTATGAGATTCGCTATGGCTTGTGTAATTGCTAAAAACGAAATTCAGGTTTGCTATTCCCCCCTCCCCCCCCCCTCTAAATCCACACTTCTTTCGGGGAGTGGGACAGCCACTGCTTCACGAAACTTTACGCAGAGGAGAAAAGGCAAAAGGGAATTGGTGTGTACACCGGGTCCACGTTTAGGGTTTGTTTTTTTTTTTTCCTTAGTGGGAGGGGGGAGGGGTGGCGGTAAGACCATGAAAAGAAGCTGTGAGTCTTTGCCGAATTAATGACAACTTCTCACTTGCAAAGTGCTGATTTATAATCTCCTCATCATACTGCGTCGCCTGTTTCCAGACTCGGGGGGGGGGGGGGGTTGGGGGAAAGTTTGCTAAAGGTATTCATATAATTACATGCCCGGCTTCGGAGGGATGAATTGAAGCAGCGACTATATACTGAGCAAACGCCCGCATTCCCGTTCAGCCCTAAATCCTGCCTGGTTTCCCACACGGAACCATTCAGCGATCCCCGCATACGGCTCCGTCGCCCCGATTCTAACTCAGGATCTTGGCGTTAACATGCCGTGTTCCGGCCTGGGCCATTCACGGAAAGCGCCCTCTTTGTACGCGTATCATTAAAGGCTAATTTGGTGAGATATCCTTATTTAGCCGAGCAAATGGGATCTGACAGCCAGCTCCGACGGCGGTGACGATTCAGCAAAGCACAAGCACTCTTTTACGGCGAGACAGTTTCCCATGGCTCGGCCTCGCTGGAGGAAGGACTCTGGGAGCAAAAAGTGCTTTTGCTAAGACTCAGGGGCCATGCAGCCTCCGCCATCTGCGTGTCCATGGGCCCTGTCCCCTAAGCACTGAACCTTTCCCGGTGCCTCACTTTCCTATTCCCTGTGGTGCACACGTGATGGAAATCCAGGCTGGCAAATAAATGTAAGGTACGTGGATATCTGTAGGTTACAAATCAACACCAGGCGTGTGTGTGTGTGTGTGTGTGTGTGTGTGTGTGTGTGTGTGTAAATGAATGCACCTTCAAAAGGTCAGTGTTCTGGGAGGGGCATTTGCCTTTGGAAATTCCCTGTGTGCAGAGTTTCTTATAAAGCGACTTGGAGTGAGGCAGCAAGGACTTGCAGAGGAATATTGTGATTCCACATGGAAGCAAGCAGAGCACTGCTCCTCTGACAAGCAAATCTAAGATCATTATGATTCATGGTTTCAGAGCTGTTTGATTTTGGGGGTGTCAAGCAGCCCATGTGCCACTCATTTCCTTCAAATCCTGTCCATGAAAACATCTCAGCAAATCATTTCGGCGGAGGGGAGGGGGGTTAGGGGGGGCGGGATTGTACTTTTGCCTTCACATACCGCCTTTTGGCCTCCCAAGCACAGAGGCCCTGAAAAACACAGCAGGTTCAACAAACTGAGACACACACACACACACACACACACACACACACACACACACAGCCTTTCCCTTTTACCCCAAGTAGCACACCTCCCACTTCCCTCTGACTTTCCGAGGCGCAGCCTGGGGGTGTCAGCTTTCTCCCTCGCTCTCCCGGGGGCTGGCTGCTGGGACCCGAGTCCCTCGCTGTCGAGAATGACCCCAAAAGCGGGACTTTGTGGGCCAGTTGGATAAAACATAAACTCATCTCGCCCTCAAAACCCCGATTCT